GTTAAATTGGGTTTCTTTCCTTTTTATTTGCTGAAAGCAATGAATAAGGTATTGAGGTGAAGCAGATGTTGACGGAAGTTGTCGACCGTGGACGGAAGCTGTCGACTGTGGACGGAAGTTGTCGACCGTGAACGGAAGTTGTCGACCGTGGACGGAAGGTGTCACGCATCCTACCCCTCCCCACTCAGTAAAAGTCTAAATCAATTTCAATGAAGCTCAGAAATTCACGTGGAAAGAAATAAAACGTTCGTATGGTTTGATAAAAAAACCTTAAATCACATTTCTGAACTTCTAAAAATGCAACTTGAATCGACAAGCCGAAAGGTTCACACCTAAGGGACCCGTAGCGGGTTCATTTCAACACACGCTGTGACTACGCGGAAGGGTATCAGAGGCAGCCATCAGTTGGTAAGCCGCGCATTTGCGTTCATCTTCAGTTGGTATAAAGTAATCATTGCTCTATCACTGTCCTTTTCCTCGGGAGCTCTTCAACATACAGTCCACTCATCAATCATAGCGGCCAAGATAGTCCAACTAAGATTTTTTTTCGAGCCCCAATATTTCGGTCCGGACTTGAGGCTCGCTCGAACAAAAACAGCAATACCAATCCGGTCAGTACAAAATGCTGACTGCAGACTGCATACCGGACACAAAATGCAGACGAGGTACAAAATGCAGACTGCAGACCGGGTACAAAATGCAGACTGAGAATTTATTCCTTTTTTTTGGTCTGATACGTGATAACATGTCATCTCACAACTTACTGAGCGTCACGAAATCGCTTTTCTGCGATCATCTTTCACGATTATTTGCACTATTGTGGAATATTCCTCGCCCGTTTCTTGATCACAATCGTTCTTAATATAGTTTCAAGCCTTCATAAAGTATTCTCACTTTGCGCGCGAGCTGATTGGTGTGATGTCTGGATAGAATTTACCAACTTAATAATAAAAGTAGATGTAGATGTAAATGAGATGCCACTATCGAATATTTTTAAAACGCGCAATATTCGAGAAAGAATTGACAGCTTTGCACGTGGTCCATTCGTTTTATCTTTTTAACCGATATGTGTTCATTTTGTTGACAAAACTCATGGCCAGAAATCTGTGACAATCAGCGGTTTGAAACGGGAGCTTGTATATCCAAAAAAATTCCTACTACGCATGCGTTCTTGCATCAGATTACATACAGCAAATTATGGCGAGCGGCGTAAGGGATTCGAGCAAGAATAGCCGCGGTTTATTTCTTCAATTACACAATGTTTCTTCTGCGGACCTTCTTTGGGATGAAAAAAAAAGTAGAAAAAGGAAAGGTTAAGAAAAAAAAAAGTGGAAAGGTTTATCTCGAGGAGGACATCACATGGAACGGTGAATTCACAATTTGCCCTGGTCTACGATGTATGTCATTAATTTTCTTACATGCTAAAGTTTTATAATTAAAATCTTCAGGTTCAATATTTGGTGAAATGGAAGGGATACAGCGCGTTTCATAATAGTTGGAAAGATGAAGATAACTTGACTACCGATCTTATTAGGTATTTATTGTTGTATCATTTTTTCAAACTGCTCTTAAATTACCATTACAATTGAACATGCTGAAATACGGAATTAACAAGAGAGATGCACTCGTATAAGCTAATTCATAGAAAGGTTTATACTTAACTAATTTTTTTTCACCAATAATACACGCAGTGATTGCTGCTTTTCTTTTTCTTCTGCCTTTGCATTGCTTTCAGTATTACTTGTTCATAGACAACCCCTCTTACAATGTTTCCATTTTCATTATTTTTCTTACAGAACTTATGACAAGCCAATTGTTGATAAAGAGAGGCTAACTCGAAACGTTGATAACCCTGAGATTATCAGTCCTCTTTAAATTAAGAAGTAAATCAAGGTCTAATGCTATTTTGGACTTAGATCATGATTGTTTTCGTTTTTTGTTTTATGGTAAAGGAAGGGAGGGAAGGGAGAAGGGGTATACTTTGTTAGATAAGGATGATTTTAAAAAATGTGATTTACTGGAAAACTGGGATAGGGTTATTGATTGTAATGGGGATGGGGTAAGGGTTAAATATCCATTTAAAATTGGATTGTTTTTAACAAAATCACCAAAAACATATTCTATTATAAATGGGAAAATTCAAGAA